CCACAAGCTGCATGTCTTTGGACGGTGGGAGGAAGCCGGAGTACCCGGAGGGAACCCACGCAAACACGGGGAGAACATGCAAACTCCACACAGAAAGACCCCGGCCTGATGGTGGAATTGAACTCAGGACCTTCTTGCTGTGCGGCTACAGTGCTAACCACCGTGCTGCCTTACACTGAATGTGTAAACTTATTTTTATGACTGCTGTGTAATAAAGTGAAAACTTTTCAGCTCTGATTTCAAAACCCAAAGGATTTCAATTATGCTTTCTAGATATGAACTTTCTAAAGCTGACTAACAGTTGATGTTCCTCTTTTTTAAACAGTCTTACACAGAGGGTAAAAATATATACCACTTACAGTTTCCACTTTAACAAACACAGGAGTGTGAAAAATGTAAAGTTCCTCCTTTAGTGTAAATATTTGATGATCTGAGTAGAAATTTGTCCTGACATTTAAAAGAACAAAGTCAGCAAATCAGCAAACGCATCAAACTACAGTTAACATGCAGTCACATCTGTAAACATCAAACACACATGAAAATGTTTAATTTTACAGCTCCCAAAGAATTTAATCACAAAACATCTGGAAGACAATCATTTTAATCCCAACAGCAAAATAAATATTTACCCTTTATTAACAACAGTTATTAAAAAGCTATATCCTGAAAAAGGCTACAATCGTAGAAATGTTCACACTCTTTCCAAAAGTCTCAGTAACTAAAACATGATGATTTGTGTTGATACTAGTGTAGAGGAACAGAGAGTGCAGGTGAACAGTGAGTCCTAATGTAGATGAACTCTGAAACACCTCAGTGGTCCTAAGTTGTCAGTGACGTTCAGCTGAAATACCTCCAAACAACCAAATATCCTCGATACGATCAGATGACTGTCTGTGAAGCAAAGACCTGATCTGGATCTAATGCTGTGGTCATGTTGACTTACAATGAAAATGTCTGTGAAGCTTCTCAGTCATCCAGGTCATCGTAGTCAAGGAGCTTGGAAAGATCTGGGACTCTCCACCATTTGACCTTAGAACTGAAGAAGCTTCTCGGATGAGAGGTGAAACGTCTTCAAGCAACTTAAAGAAGTCCAGACGCTTTTCTTTGCAAGCTCCTTAGACTACCATGAAAATCTAACAGTGCCTCTGTAGAGTTTCACAATGAGGCGAGAACACTTTGCTTTAGTTTTATGTTCAGGATGAACTAAGGTGCTGCACCAAGAACCAAGATGAAGGATAAAGATCAGCTGAAGGTCCAGATACATCTCCCAGGTCCTGTTTCAGGAGTTTGCTGAATTTCTTCCCATTTCTTAAGGACATGACTTTCACATGCTGCCTCATCTGTGGGTGGGTTTTTTTTGTTTGTTTTTTTTGTTTAAACTTGTCCTGTGGCCAGCTTTGCTCGGGTGGTACAGGCAGCAGTGCTTTGATTCCTGGCTTCTATAGTTTTAAAGGACAAGATACCAAACCCTGAGTGTGAGTGTGAGAATGTCAGGTAAAAGAAACAAGTAGAAATGTGAGAATAAGAAGAGAATAGATTCATTCATTGTCACTATACAGTTGCTGTACAATGATACAGAGCATCTCCGACCCAGTGCAAACATATGTGTGTGTGTGTGTGTGTGTGTGTGTGTGTGTGTGGGGGGGGGGGGGGTTTAACATATGTACAGTATTAACAGGAACAAATATATAAAATGTACAAACAACAGTAGATAAATAGTGTTTTGTATATACAGTTCGGGTTATTGCACATAGAATTTGGGATTGCACAGTGGTGTAACTGTTACTGGTGCATGTGTGAGTTCAGGGTGGTTATGGCTTTAGAGAAGAAACTGTTTTTGTACTGATGCACCTGTAGCATCCCTGAGGAAGCAGGCTGAACATGTTGGGAAAACCCGAATGCTTTTGTCCACAGTCACATTTGCAATACAGAACTTGATATAGTCCAGTGCTGTGAAAGGTTTTAGCTCCTGGTGTTCAAATATGTCCCAGTCTGTCTGTGTGAAGCAGTCCTGTAGCTTTCAGGCCAGGCTGTAACAGTCTTTGTGGTGGGCCTGGCACTGCGTCTGAGGGGGAGTAGGCTGGGGAGAGCAGGAGGGAGAGGTGGTCCAACTGGTCGTAGTGGGAGAGGGGTATGGCTCGATGTTGGAGTAAACATGATGTAGAGTGATCTCTCCCCTGGTGGGACATTTCACATGCTGATGGATCTTTGGGAGTAGTCTTCATGCTGACCTTATTAAAATCACCTGCAGTTACGTGAACACCGTCCCGCTGCTGTTGATGGTGTTCAGTAGCATAGAGAGCTCCGTGTTTACCGATAGAAACCGATAGTACAAAAAGAAATGAGAAGGATGTACAAACTAAGCAACTAAAGAAAAGAAAAGAGTACTGAGACGGAGAGCTGCAAGCTGCTGCAACAGTGTGCGCCGCCATCTTGAGTGGTGTAGCAACAAAGTGCTTTGAGGGTCCAAACAGTAAAAAGGCTGCATAAGTACCATGTAAGACTTGATGTTGTACCAGGCTGCTGTTTTCATCCTGCTGACACTCTGATTTCAGAACAGATGTCAGCTGGTTCATCAGAAGGAAGATGATTGGATGAATTTCTGTTTGGCAATTTTGAAGCGATCACGAGAGCAACAAGGAGGACAAGAAGTAACAACCCAGAAGCTACCAGCCCATAATGACTGTTGACTTCATCCTGCTTCCCTTCATCTTCCTCCTTCCCTCCATCCTCCTTCCCTCCATCCTCTGTGTCTCCTCCTGTCTGACCTGCAGGTGAGAAACAGGTGTGAGGTGTCAGCTGTCAGGTAGGTGATGAGTGAAGAACAGAACAGAATCCATTTCCTCTTCAAACTGCTGTCAGACATTATCTACTGCACTCTGATCACATCACTCAGACCAGCTGCTTTCTGCAAAGTCTCATCAACAACATCTTTAGAAACAAACATCAACAAGCAGGAAGCAGCTTCACCTCTGATCACACACACACTCAACTCTACTCACTCACCTGGAGGATCAACAACACTCAGGGTGATGCTGCAGAGGAGCTTCAAACCATCTGTACGTTTCTGGATGACACCACACTCGTATGTTCCAGTGTCATTAACCGTCACGTTCTTCAGAATCAAAGACACGTCTCCATCCTTCATCTGTCTGTCCTGCAGAGCCACCCGGTTCTTAAATGATGGATGCTGCTTGGTGGTATTAAATTTTTTGTCATAAAAAAGGACAGAGCTATCTTTCAAGTCTGGTTTGCTCCAGTCTAAAACTGTGATGTTGTTGTTTGGAGCTCGACATGTCAGAGTGATGTCCTGTCCAGACTCAGCTGTGATGTTTTTCTGGGCTGAAAGAGGAAACAACACAGAGCAGAGAGGTCACGAAGGTTAAAATGCAACTTTTCATTTCTAGAACAGTGATTATTGTGATGGGCTCCATCCAAAAACACTCAAAGAGAAACATGAAACATATGAGTCCAGCAGAATTTCAGGACCGTGTCAGCGTAACCTTAAACAATTGTTGTTTTTTTCACAGCGTTATTATTTTAGTTCGATGTTTTGCACTGGTTTTCATTTTAATTTGCTTTCAAATGGATAACACACGTTAACAATTTTCATACTCGTTTTCAGTCATGATTTAAATGTCATTAAAATAATGGTTATTTTGCTGGTTATTGGTATCAATGCGCTTTTGCCGATACAAAAACACATATTTATTTCCCAGGTCAGGTCTTTTACACTTTACAGCTGTGATTGTGTTGTTGTTTGGAGCTTGACACGTCACATTGATGTTCTGTCCAGACACAGCTGGAAACAGCACAGATCAGAGAGGTTAAAGGTTAAAATGCAACTAGTCTCTTGTACAGCAGCCAAGCAGAGTGAAGATCAGTGACTCTCTCTGTCACTCCTATCAAAGACTCTCAGGGCAACATTAATACAAGAAAGATTTTTTGAGAACAACATCAAAATTTCCACATTAAAGTCCAAATTATATTTCAAGGTCCAAGGCTATCCATGACTCCACGCTGATGTTTTTTCCTCAAACTTGTTAATGGATAATACAAAGCAAAGCAGCTCGTTCGGTACATGTTAGAGTCTCTGCGTGTTGTGGTAAACACGGACACACAGCGTGGGGAGGTCGTGTTTCAGCCCTGGCTGGTGAAGAGAGTAAAGACGGCGGGGCCACAGCCTGGTTTGTGTGCTGTGGAGTCGGCCCTGTAGGGCGGACTGTACACAGTGCTGCACGTTTGTGTAACGCTGGATTGTGCTGCAGAAGAGGCTGCAAGAGGTTAACTTTACTTTATGTTCAACGTGATAGTACGTGTTTAAAAAAACTAATAACAAACATCGACAGGAAAAACATACTAAGAAGCTGCGACACCTCAATGTACAAAAATAGGAAAATACTTCCTAAACAATTCCCAAATCTGCCACAAGATGGCGATCCAGGACAAGGAATAAAAGCATTGCTGCTCAGCCAGTTGCGTGTCAGTCAGTGTTGTTGATCTTGTCTGAATGGATGAAATTATGAACACAGAGAAGATCAGATTTTGATCCACCATGAAAGAATCTGATCGGTAACATCATCATTTTTCAGGCAATGATCCTGATCTTAATAGAAAAACACACGAGGGGAGGCCGGTCCGTGACTGATACCCACACGGCTTCAGCATTAATGATCATTTCCATGTAAATGTGAAGCGATTCAGACAGTTTCCTCCTGCTCACTGGGACAGGAAGTACAACCCTTTTTTAAGACTAGCAGCAAAACCTCGGGCTCGTTTGTGACAGCGTTGCGTTTACTCGCTCCTTCTTCTGACGGATTTTCTAGTTTATAAAGTTTCGTTTTACCTCAACCCTTAAAGAGATGGTAGAAACAACTTCCGAGCGAAAACTCTGCATTGTTAGAAAGTTTAACGAGGATATCCAGACGACTTAGAAGAAGTAGGACCGGGAGAGGACCAGGCCTCTGCTCTGCTTTAGAAGGTTCCGGAAAGCCCCGCCCCTTCTCTGACGTCACATTTTCCCGTCCCCGGTGCGGCACTTTTAAATCTCTTCAGAGTAAGTACAACACTGAGCGAACATCAGCACAGATGTGGAGTTTGTTTCACACATTTGTGTCCTGCTCACAGTGACAGCAGACTGCTCACGTAGTTTACACTGAAAGAAGAGCAGTGGAAGAGTCGCTGTGATACCGTAATCAAGTATAACTGTGTGTTGTCAGTGTAATGTAATGTGTACTTTATTAATCCAGTAGGAAATGAGTCCGCTGCATTTAACACATTCAGTCAGTGAAGCAGCGAGCGCCCCGGGAGCAGTGTGTACAGACGGTACCTTACTCGGGATACCTCAGGGGCGGTGAAGCCCCGACCTTCCGATCATAACACAAGCACCCTGATCCATCTCTGCCACCTCAGTGTGTTGTCAGTGTTACAGTTACAGTGGATCGCAGTGTGTTATGAGTGTGTAGTTACAGTGTAAAAAACAAAAAATCAGTTGAACTCACTTGAACAGACAGCCGAGAGAAGGCAGGTGAAAATCACAGAGCAGCAGGCTGATGTCAGGTCCATTACTTGTACTTCTGTGGGTGCGCAGATCAGAGTGTTTCTAAAGTTCGCAGAAAAAAAGTTCCTGAAAAATTGATTTTACCCTAAAATTGTTGCCAAAGCCCGAACTGGTTGGCAGATGTGTCAGCGACCTGCTGCCAAAACCGTCGGTGGAACTGTGATGTCCCTGAGTGGACGAAGGCGGAGAAAAGCGAGAAAATCAAGATTCCCGGACTAACCGGAAATAATACCGATGTCTGCTTTCAGAGTAAAGTTAAGTAAAATAAAGCCTTGGATAACTTCCTGCTGACTGACGAGGCAAAACTTTATTTTGAAGGAACTTGCGTCATCAATACGGAAACTGCAAGTGCAGGTTGTTTTAGCTTTCAGTCAAAAATTTTTCCGCCCAACTTCCTCGTGTTGTGGGATCAAAAATGACCCCACATTTTATTTTCACTCGAAAACAAAACAACACAAACAAACCAGGGTATATTTTTATGTAAACAAGGTCTGGTGGTCCTTAATCGCAAAATGAAGGGGGGATTTTGTGGTAATGTGATGGTTTTAAGTAAAACTAAAGGTGTATGTACTTTAAAAAAAAAACCTTAAATGAGGTGGGTCGTTTTTGATCCAGAGGACAAGAGTATGGCAATCGGGAGGACATTATGAGGGTTAAAAGGGTCTTGTTGTCTATAATGTGTCAAAAATTGCTCTAATATATCTCTCTCATGAATGATAGCAACTGATGTATTTCCTTTATTTATCTGGGTAAATGTGTCATTTATATTAAAAACGTCCTTTTAAAAAGAGATGTGGCCAAGATGGCGGGAGAAGTTGTAAGAAATATAACATTGCAGTCGTATGAGGATATTTAAGTCACCATAAAGGACTGATTTGATTGCAATGTGGAACAATTACAGTGTCATAAAGATACTTCAACAACAGCTCATTTCTTCATTGTATTTATAGCTCATTCAGAAATCATCTTCACTACAGTCTGTTTAAAAATATAAGAATATTAGAGAAAAACACTCAGAAACATCAGAAATGACTTTTTAGTCCAACACATAAATTTCTGGATTTCTAACAAACCCTTTCAGTCTAAATGTTAAATCCTTAGTTTGAATCAGTGAAGTAGAACATGATGTTTTTTTATATATATGTTATCTGTTGTCCACATTGTAGAGGGTGACTTTGCCTGTAAACAGTAAAATGTGTACAGTCAGGTTAAAGTGGATTCAGCAGGTGGGGAGACTTAAAAGTTCTCAGCACAGGAAAATAATCACAGTCGTTTCTAATGTCAGTTAAAAAACCACTGAAGTAGCAGCTAGTTTCACAGTGAGTGGATGTTCAGGTTGCAAACTGTAGGCTCAGATAATCGTGTACTGTACATTAAATGATGCTTTTAAAGCAGTATTTTTAGATGGGTGTAGTTAAGTGACCAAAGCTAAATGAACATATTAATACAGACATACATTGGTGACCGTGCTTTAGGTTCATTTATTTATAGATGTCTGAATAATATATTGAGTTAAAGAGGAGTAAATACTACGTCCCTTTCAAACAGGAAGTGGTTTAATCTGGTCCACAGTGGGGTCAGAATATAATATTTGACATTTACAATCTGCAGAGTTTAATGTAGTTTGTTTGTCACGTTACTGATTTTACTTCTGATTCATGTTAGTTTGTTTTATGAGTTAAAAATAAAATTTGTTAGCTCAGTCTTTGTTCTTAAGACGTGCTGAAAAATCCTAATTAAAGTTGAATTCACCCTGAAACAAGACTTAATGAATTTTCACGTTTTCTTCTTTGTCGACTTTTTCCAGCAAAGAAAATCAGCCGAGCTTCAAAGTTTGGTTCAATTTTAGGATAAATTCTAATGATCACTTTATAATGAGTTTGTATAACTGTGGTCACCTTGTGCTACTGACAGAAAACAAAAGACACACATGAATAAAGATTTAATATAAAATAAATTTACTGCATTGAAGTGTAGAGTCAACACAAAATAGAAGTGAAGACAAAATGGAGAAGTGTTAGTTTGGAGAAATCTCTCCTGCAGCATGAAACAGGAAGTGCTTCTTTCTCCACAGCTCTTTGGCAACCTGACATTTTTTTTTATTTTCCATCTTAAAAATATTAATTTATAAAAGATCAGAAAACAAAAAGAGCAGTGAACAGCAAACTTCTGACCGGCTGCAAATTAAGCTTTAATTTTGTGTGTTTGGTCTGATTCAACCTTCTATCAACCCTCCACTCTTCTTTATAGACAGTTTTTTTGGTCAGCTGTAAAACTGCATTTAGAGCCACACTGAAAATGTACATTTTTTTCTGTTTCATTTTTCTGATGTAACAATGATAAGATTGTTAAAAGGTAAATGAACTGGTTCTTATTGCTTTTTTACTTTACCTGAGCATTTAAAGCACTTTATACACATTTGTACAAGCGCTTTTTTCTATGGAACTTCTGTCTATCTAACATGAATACATGGAAATATATGTAGACATTAATAATAGTCTATATTTTACAAACCCCATTTCCAAAAACATTGGAAAACTTTCTAAAACTGCAATAAAAACTAAAATTTGTAATTTTGTAATTCACTTTAACTTTGATTTAACTGGCAAATTAACAGAGAAAAGATTTTCAGTGTTTTCAATAACAAACTCATTTCTATTTGACAAACACATTTAGAAATCGATGCCTGCAACCAGTGGCGGAGCGGGGAGGGGGTGGCTTACTGGGCTTAAGCCCGGGTTGTTTTGTCAGAAGTAACCCCAGCTCAATTACTTCTAGGGTGTTTTCACAGCGATTTACCTTACAATCCCTTCGTGTCTCTGTGTACAGATTCCCTGGACCAACCCCTGTGTTACCCGAGTGATTGGAGTGTGAAGAGGAGCGTGAGGAGTGGATGGAGTGTGTGTGTGCGTGACTATCAGCGTCTTTCCCGTTCGTGTGTGGACCCCCGGAGCCCGGCTTTCCCCTCACTTTTGTAAATAATCACCTGGTGTATCATAATAAAGACTCTTGTGCTTTCAAGACCTAGAGCCTGCGCGTGAGTCCGTTCAGTCCCGTTGTGACATAAGGAGCTTCTTTCAAAGAAAAAACTCTGGTAGTATTTTATATATTATGCTTTGTATGTTGTTCAGTATATTTCTATGCGAAACAAGAGGAATTTCAATACACAGCAGGATATCCACAGTTTAAACCAGATATTTACATACACTTTATGGAAAACACAAGACCATTTTTTTACTGTACAACATCAATTTAGAGTAAACTTGTTTTGGATAAATAAATATTGAAATATCTTTTGAATTAGTTAAATGTCAGAATAAAGAGAGACAGAGCTTCTATTTTTTATCACTTTCATCAAATTTAGGAGTACATATACACTAAGTTTATTGTTAATTAATAAGAAACTCCAGACGATTCCATTCTGAGCTGAAGAAGCTTCTGATAGGTTAATAGAGTCCATGTGAGTAAACTGGTGGCACAGCTGTGGATGCATATAAGGCAAAACACAGAGCCTGTTTCTGTGACATGGGAACATCAAGAGATGTCAACCAGGAAAAGAACTGTGGAGCTCCATAAGTGTGGCTCAATTTTGAATACAATTTGGTGCCATTTGCAATTAAGAAATACAGACAGTTTATCTCTTTACTCTTAAAGTTAACAAATACGCTTTTTATATTTATCAATCTAAAAAAATAACATTTAGTCTGATTTGTTACAATTAAAAAGTGTTTGTGTTTTTATCTGAAGAGTTTGTAAATATCTGGTTTCAACTATTGAAACCAGATATTTGATGATGACGTATATTTGATGATGTTGGTGTTTGGCTTGATTGTCAGCACAAAGAGGGAGAGAGAGGAACAGAGATGGAGAATAAGGACAGAATAGAGATGAACAAGAGCAGGTGAGACACACGTTAGTCAAATGGTTGTTTGCCAAAACTCATCAGAACATGTATCCAGTACCTAGTGTATCTTTTTAGGTTTGCTATTTTTCAAATTCTATATTTATTAAGTTAATGTGTCTTGTTTGCACAACAAGGCTGAATAATTAAATAAACCTTTCTGAATCTAAATAGTGGACTTTGGTAGAATTAAAAAATAAGTGTAGTGCAGGTCTATGATGATTCTGAGTGTTTTGATTCTGGTTCTGTCTTGGTTAAGTCCTAAGTAGTCCTGTTTTAATTCCCAATCAGTTCTGGGTCTGGTTGAATTGGGGTTTAGTCCCTGCGTCTTGATACAGCCCTGATTTTGTTCTGCCTTGCTGCTTAACTAAAAAAAGGAGTTTAAGATGTCCTGCATATGTGATATATATTTTTTCCTATATGAAGCTATTCTTTTTTTTTTTTTTAATGAAAGCACAGCCTAATAAATATCTCATTCACCCTCCCCCCAATCCCACATGCATACTACCCTTTAGGGCTAAGCCCCGGGTGTATAAAATGTCTGGCTCTGCCTCTGCCTGCAACACAGAGGTAAAATTCACCTTTGCTTTTAATTTCACATCTTAATTTTACTGAATATGAAGGACCTCATTTTTACAATTTTACAGATGGAAATTTTGAACAGACAAAACAAATCATGTTTTTTCAGTTTTCAAAGATTTTAATGATCAAACATCTTAAGTATATAAACTTCACTCCCAGCAGTAAAATACATATTTATTACAGTTTAATTAACCATAATTTTACCCTTTATTAACAACAGTTATTGTAAAGCTACATGCTGGATTCACATTCAACCACAGAAGAAACAAGGAGGCTCATGAAGATCATAAAAATATTCACACAATTTCCAAAAGTCTCCATAAATAAAACTCAATGATTTGTGTTGTTGTTGTTGTAGAGGAACAAAGTGTGCAGGAGAACAGTGAGTCCTGATGTAGATGAACTGAGGAGCTGCACCAGGAGCCAGGATCAAAGATAAAGATGTTAAACTGTGAATTATTCAATAATCACAGTTTAAGATGATTGAAGTAAAGAGTCCACAGAGCTCAGTGCAGTTCCTCATCTAGAGAGCTGTTAGAGGCTCGTCTGTCTTTATGTGATGTGGACAAAGAGTCAATTATTGTTCCTGTGTTCTTATCATGATTCATGATGTGAGCATAAGTGAATCCAGGTTACAGAAAGACTCCCTGAGTGTGCTTCACTGGCTTTCAGTGCAGTTATTGTGTTATGTGGCAAACCTCGGCCTTTTCTCCTCTTTGGCTTCTTGACAGTCGTCCTTCCACTCAGACCATTTCTGAGGCTTCATGAACAGCAGATGATCAGCTGAAGGTCCACATGGATCTCTCAGGTCCTGAGTCACTTTCACATGCTGTTCATCTGCTGCTGATAGTTTTTCCTTTTAGGCCTGATGATTGTCCTGTGAGCAGCTGTGGCTCAGGAGGGTCGTCTACTGATTAGGTCAGGACAGCAGTTTGAATCCTGACACCTTTAATCTGCAAGGACAAGAAACTGAACCCTGAGTTGGACCTGATGGATCCATCATAGTGTGAGGGTGTGACTCTCAGATTATACACACTTAGATAAAGGCACATGAGAGTCAGGCTTGTAGTAAGAAAGTGCTTACAGAGTAAAAAAAAATGGCTGCCGGTCCATGTAAGACTTGATGTTGTACGAGGCTGCTGTTGTCATCATCCTGACACTCTGATTTCAGAGCAGCTGTCATCTGGTTCATCAGAAGGAGGATTATTGGATAAATTCTTCTTTGGCAGTTTTGAAGTGATCACGAGAGCAACAACAACGAGCCCAAGAAGTAACAAACCAAGTAACAGCTCAAAATGTTCATTGACTACACTACACTGCTTTCTTGTTTGTATGAGGGAGGTCAAAGGCTGTTTATCGAGTAACTCCATTTTTCTAAATGAAAAGAAAGTGGAAATTATTGTCTTTGATAGCCACGTCCCTCGAGGACAACTAGCCGATATATTTGGGCCCCTTGCTACCTCCCTCTCTGATACAGTACGTAACGTAGGTGTTCTTTTGGAGAGCTTCATAAACAAGTATCCTCTGTAGTACAGTCTAGCTTTTACCAACTACGACAAATCTCTAAGGCTAAGCATTACATACTGCAAATGGATCTTGATATACTTATACACGCATTTGTTACTTCAAAATTAGACTACTGCAAGTCCCTTTACCTGGGCCTCCAATCGCGCCTTTTAGCTGGTACTAGAAGGTTTGATTCTATTACCCCGATCCTTGCTGCCCATCAAATATTGGATTGATTTTAAGATTTTATTGCTTACATTCAAAATTCGTAAATAATATTGCTATTTAACTGAACTTCTCAGCCTGTATACTCCTAGGAGAGCACTTTGATAATCAAGTCAAATCCTCTTGCTGCAACCTAGGTCCTGGCTGAAACCCAGAGGTGATCGTTGTCAGGGTTATATTTTTGGGTTGTCATTTATACTTAGAAACACATAATACCATGGTTCGGGGGTTGGGAAGCTCATCTTGTAACCGGAAGGTTGCCGGTTCGATGCCCTGCTCTGTCTGTCTTGGTTGTTGTGTCCTTGGGCAAGACATTTCACCTACCACCCACTGGTGTTGGCCAGAGGAGCCGATAGCGCGTTATGGCGGCCTGGCTTCTGTCAGTCTGCTCCAGGGCAGCTGTTGCTACAACTGTAGCTTGCCTCCACCAGTGTGTGAATGTGAGAGTGAATGAATAGTGGAATTGTAAAGCGCTTTAAGGGTCTCAAAAAGCGCTATGTAAATGCAATTCGTTATTAGTATTATTATTATTATAGGTATATAATCAGTTGCATATTGATAGAATGTCTCAGGGCAGCACGGTCGTTACTGTTGCCGCACAGCAAGAAGAGCCTGCATGGGTTCTTCCCAGCTTCCTCCCACCGTCCAATGACATACAGTGGGGGATAGGTTAATTGATTAATCTAAATTGCCCATAGGTGTGAATCTGTGAGTGCAAATGGTTGTCTGTGTCTCTGTGCATCTCGCCCTATAACAGCTGGGATAGGCTCCATTGCCCCCTCGACCCTGGAAAGGATAAGCGGAAGTGAATGGATGGATGCATAGAATGTCTCACTCACACACACACACACACACACACACACACACACACACACACACACACACACACACACACACACACACACACACACACACACAAACACATACCTACATGTACACACAGACTAGTACTCTTTGTTCACATATATGCCTGTTTAAGATGTCACATGTCACCATCTCGGTCACCTCCCTCGTGCACGAGATCACACAAGGGTTCTACCTGTGTCCAGTGCTTTGCTAGTTGCAGTAGAATTGTTTCGGCTGTTCCAGCAATAGGTTTGTGCCTAGATAAACCTTACAACCGTGCCATTGCTGTACGTATTACCAGAGCCTGTTCTTTAAGAAAGAAACACTTGTGAGCTTCTAAATCCTTCTCGTTTGTTGTCTCATTTGTTGTGTGCTGGTCTGTTACATTTTCTAAAACTACACTACACACAACTTACATTCAGATTGAATGTGTGCACACATGTAATGAAAACAAATTTCATTAAATCATTTAGCAAAGGGAACAGAGCAGGAGTGAGAGAGAGAAAGGGGGGAGGGGTGGTAGTTACACTTGCAGTAGGGCAGGAACAGAGCAGGAAGAAGAGAGAGAAAGGGGGGAGGGGTGGTAGTTACAGCAGGAGGGAGAGAGAGAGAAGGGGGGAGGGATGGGTGGTAGTTACAGCAGGAGGGAGAGAGAGAAAGGGGGGATGGGTGGTAGTTACAGCAGGAGTCAGAGAGAGAAAGGGGGGATGGGTGGTAGTTACAGCAGGAGGGAGAGAGAGAAAGGGGGGAGGGGTGGTAGATACAGCAGGAGTCAGAGAGAGAAAGGGGGGAGGGGTGGTAGTTACAGCAGGAGGGAGAGAGAGAAAGGGGGATGGGTGGTAGTTACAGCAGGAGTCAGAGAGAGAAAGGGGGGATGGGTGGTAGTTACAGCAGGAGGGAGAGAGAGAAAGGGGGGAGGGGTGGTAGTTACAGCAGGAGTGAGAGAGAGAAAGGGGGGAGG